TTAAGCTTCCAACAACTCTCTCGATATATTTATTTTAAAAAACTACACGTTGGAAAATTTGAGTTAGAATATTTAATTGTTTAATGTCCCAGACAGCCTCTCTCTCATTTACCTGCTTGTTAGCAACCACCTTTTTCAAGACACCGTAAACGCTTAAAAACAATCACAAGTGGGCTATTTCTAATGTATTTTGTATTGTAGAATAAAAAGTGAAAATATCTTATGTTCACCACAGACCTGATTTCAAGCATTTAACCAAAAACTCATTAAAAAAAAAAAAAACATTGACTTGGACAATGGAACTGGAAATGCAAAAATGCTAACTTATTTCTGGGCTTTGAGACTCATTCCTGCAGCACTCTATTCAATACCATCTAACTCAGGGGTGCCCAATCCTAAATGAAGATCTACCGTCCTGCAAAGTTCAGCTCCAACCCTGATCAAACAGAAGTGAACCAGCTAATTAAGATCTTCAGGAGCGCTTGATAATTACAGACAGGTGTGTTGAATCAGGGTTGGATCTGAACTCTGCAGGCAGGTAGATCTCCAGGAACAGGCCTAAGCACCCCTGAGCTAGCTAGCTAATGATGGACCGGCAACAACCAGTGGGGTCAGATCTGCAGTGTCAGATTTCTCATTTGCAGATCACATCTTTTTGGAAATGACTTTCTGACTGTTGCAAACCAACTGGAATGTGTGAAAGAATTTTGGCACAGACCTTATGAATTCAGCCCTCTGGTTTCTCCGCTCTGACCCCTGCTACATGGTGACTGGCCATTTCCAATTATCACTAAGAGCTTTCTTCTCCTCTTGTGTCAATAGTGCGATATACGTTTTTGTGCTGAGCAAAGGCTCTTCTGAAAATTAAACTTGTCAGACACACAAGTTACACACTAGCACTCCTTCACATGCATACGCACAATTCATCTCATGACAGGTTCATCTTTTTACTGTAATTGAAATGGAGGGCTTTAGGAAACTTAAATTGTGAGAGGGGCACAGCCCTCGTTTTTAATCTACATCAGTGATCTCTGATAAGATACAAACATAAATCTATCAATCACTTTACCTGACACTGCCAATAAAAGAACAAAACACAACCCGAAACTGCTAAATCTGTTCACACCAAGTTATTATAACAATTGATTTATTTAAATTTTGCATGTAATGTACAAAACATGTATTCCTTGTTCCAGTTTATAGTATTTCCTTTCAAAACTGCCCTCTACAGTCTGAAGAATGAAATGACACCTGACAGGTTAATAAACAACTCTCTAACACAACTTTGTTAATGTTTTCACAAGGTAGGGGAAGATGGGGAAGAAGCCTCCTTAAGAACAACATGCATTTGTGTCATTAATGTAAAATACTAAATTAACTACTCCATATAATTTTTGACAATTCAGTTGAATCGTAGAGTAACCAAAATATATATTATATAGGGATATATATATATATAATATGAAGTGCACATCTCATTCATGAAATTATGAAATATAATATTTATAAAATATAATATAATGAAATAATAATATAATGAAATATAATAACCCTATGAATTAACAGCAAGTATTAAATATCTTTTTACTTAACATTTTTACTTCAAAATATTAAAAAAAAAATTATCTTCACAAATCTAGAAACTTTAATTTGTTCACAAATCCCTCATTAACATACAAACACAAAAAACCGTTGATATTAAACCTAATACAATGTCACATAACTATTTTCTAGCGACAAAATTAAACTGACTAAATCTTGCAAATGTTGATATTCAGATGATGTGAATTAAATTCATTAAATGTGTTGAAATTATATTTTGTGGGATCTATGATTAAGAGAACAAAAAATAGCGTGCCTCATCTTACCCTACCATGCAATTATTACAGGGACAATCCGTCTGGAGCACCTTGGGGTTAAAAGTCAGGCGGCTAAGGTTAAAAACTGCATAATACAGGGAAATACTGCAGTAAAATGTCTACTAAGATATTTGAGGGAGAGAAATTTTTATGATTGTGGAAAGTGTCCTTTTTTATAGTTCTTTTTCATTGTTCAGTCAAGGTGAGTGTGAATGGGGAAGGTGAAAGTAAATAATTAAATTATTCCCTATAAGGACATGACAAGGTGATGTCATCTAACAGTACAAAAGAGGGCCTTTTTACTGAAGGAAACAGGGATTTTAATTTTAGACGAGTCTTCATTAGTTCATGTCCTAATGAAATGATGACTATGTTAAAACACTGACTGTTACATTATAGAGAGTGTTGTTTGGTGCTTCTGGAAGTTTTATTACCATCCCTTACTGATTTAGCATTCCAGGGACTAATCAGAGAAAGAGTTATGATCAAAACATATAATTTGGATTCATCGGTCCTTGCTAATTTTAGGCCCATTTAAAAACTTCCGTTTCTTTCCAAGATACTGGAGAAAGTTGTATTCACACAACTGTACTCATTTTTAAATTTACATGGTCTCCATGAGGTATTTCAGTTTGGTTGTAAATCCCTACACAGCACAGAGACAGGCCTATTGAAAGTTTTTAATGATCTGCTTCTTGCCACTGACTCGGGTGACTATGCTGTTCTTATGATCTTAGATCTCACAGCTGCATTTGACACTGTAGCATAACACCTTGATCTCTCGTATGGAGCATTGTGTCGGCATTAAGGGTACTGTGTTGGAGTGGTTTCGATCATAATTGTCTGGCAGAAGCTTTTCTGTTCGCCTTGGGGATTTTATGTCCTCTTTTGTGTGTTTCTCGTGTGGGGTCCCCCAGGGCTCCATTTTGGGGCCTATTCTATTTTCTTTATATATACTTCTTCTAGGATCCATTTTAAGGAAGTATAATATTTTGTTTCATTGTTATGCAGATGATACACAATTATATCTGCCATTGAAACAAAAACATCCAAATTATATAGCGTCACTTTTGTGTTGCCTTGAGGAAATTAAAGCCTGGATGGCAGTACATTTAAAAAAATGTAACGAGGATAATATGGAAGTTATATTGTTTACAGGGGGTGCCTGTGGGTCTCCTGGCCTGGATTTAGGTGTTTTAAAACAATTTGTAAAGTTTTAATGGATAATGATTTTAAATTGGATAAACAGATTAATTTGGTAATTAAATCTAGTTTTTTCCAGCTGAGGCAACTTTCTAAGATTAAATCTTTTTCAAAGATTTTGAAAGAAATCTTTGCTAACGGGAACACGAAAGCGGGAACATATTACTCCCATTTTGGCCTCTCTTCATTGGCTTCCTGTCAGTTTTAGAATTAATTTTAAGATTTTAATCTTAGTTTTTAAATCATTGAATGGTCTAGCACGGGCAAATCCCTCAGACTTAATACAGCCATATGCTCCATCGTGGAGACTTAGGTCCGCTGACCATTCATTGTTAGTTGTCCCTCGTGTAAGGCTGAAAAGCAGATGTGACCGTGCGTTTGCAGTGGCGGGCCTAGACTTTGGAATAATGGCCTTTACATGTTAGAAAGGCCCAAACACTTACTGTTGTTAAGTCTAGCTTAAAAGCCTACTTTTATAGTATGGAATTTAACACTGTGTGAGAGCTGCTATTTTATTTTATTTTACATTATTCTATAATATTTAATATTTTTTTAACTGTTCATAAATCAGGCACACAGTAAGCGATCTATAGATGGTGACAACGTAGAAAGACATGCTGTAAGTATTCTCAGCAGAATCAGTGATGTAAAGACCCAGGGACCCACTACAAAACGTTTTTCAAAAAGATTTTCTCAGTAACACGTCATAATAACTTTGATTACAAAAATAAAAAGGTTTAATAACATTATATATTGAAAACCTGGTCATATAATTAGGAAATGTCATGACAATCTTTAATGGAATTTCTATGTGTTTTATGCCTATAGGTCTACATCATCTCATTTGACCCCCTGCAGTTTCTTCATGGACCCCTAGAGGTCTACAGACCCCTGTTTGAAAACCCTGATTTTAAAGGAATAGTTCACCCAAAAATGAAAATTCTGTCATTAAATTACTCACCCTCACGTCGTTCCAGACCTTCGTTCATCTTCGGAACACAAATTAAGATATTTTTGATGAAATCTGAGAGCTTTCTGACCCTGCATAGACAGCAACGCAACTGACACGTTCAAGGCCCAGACAGATAAGGAAATTGTTAAAATAGTCCATGTAACATCAGTGATTCAACTGTAATGTTATGAAGCTACGAGACAAAATAACGACTTTACTCAAAAATCTTCAGTTTCTTCTCTTTTATTAAATTAAGGTTGAACCACTGATTTTAATGATGTTCTTACTACTAGCTGTGTTGCTGTCTATGCAGGGTCAGAAGACTCGGATTTCATCAAAAATATCTTAATTTGTCTTCCGGAGATGAACAAAGGTCTTACAGGTTTGGATCGACATGAGGGTGAGTAATTATGACATAAGGGATGATTCACCCAAAAATAAAACTTAAATCATAAGAAACTGTTTTTTATAATATTGTATTCATTAGTGTTTTTTAAAACTGTCAATTGAAGAATAACATATAATAATATAATAAAGCCATAACATATAATAATATAATATTAATAATATAATTGTAAAAACAACTGATTTTGATTATGCCCTTTCGTTGGTGAATACAGTATAATTATTAAGATGAAGTCTATCAATAATAACAGTTCTTAGAATGAAAAGTTGTATTTGCAATCTTTTTGTGTGTAAATTAAAAGATGTAGAATATTTTACAGAGGAGGCAACAGGACAAAGTTGACACAAAGACATCTGAATGTTTAAATTGAATGTTTGGTTAAAATGGACAATAATACACTTAAAATATAAATTTGGGCTGCTGTGCTCTTGGACTGCTTCATATAACAGTTAACAATCTATTTGATCATTTTGTATATATGTTAAATAATAATAATGAACTAAATATCTTTCAATTCTATTGCCAAGAATCCTCTACAATATGACAAGCAAGAAGACCTGTGCTTTGTTGAGTGTCCACCCAGGAATCCTCGCCACCGGAAACATGTAACATTTACAGAGTGTAAAGCGGAAGTCATAAAGGGTGGTGGAGCTCCGTCTGGAAAGCAACGTCTTGTTTTACGATTTGAAAGTAACGGGTGAAAGGTGAGTGTATTTGAAGTTTAAACATGTAACATAAAACTTTCTTTTACAAGTTTATTAATTACCTCGAGGCTGCGGGGTGACATAAAGCCTATGCGCCTTGCGTTCGCCTGGCTGCTAACCGGCTAGCCGCCCAAGAAAAACATTCACGGATAGCGTGAAACGGTGGTTTTGATAAATAATTAAAATTGAGCATTTCGACCATGAACTTAAATAATTACATAATCTACTAAGTACACGGTCGTGTGCCATTGTAACTTGATTGTGTTTGTTTGTTTGTATAAGAGAGCGGTGGCTAAAGCTTAGCTCTTTGTTACCAGGCAACGGGTATTCGAAAAATGCAACTGTAAACAAACCGTCGTGATGTAGCGAGTTTGATTTTATTGATGTCACATGTATTTCTGCATTTAATAAGAGACATTGCGTTCAATGCGCTGGGATACATGTTAAAGATGAGTAACCAAACCTAATTGGCGATGTTTAATTCCCTGTAAATAAGCTATGTGATATTAGTTAACGCGAATTTACTGCATGGTAAAATGTGCAGCTGAACTTTTAACAAGTCAAAACAACTGCAACCAACTCGGCAACATGAAATTCAATAACTAAATCAGGAGCGGAGAGCTGGCTTCATCTCGGCTGGATTGAATTTGAAAACCCGGCGGGGTGCAGGGAATGTCCTGAGATACTGTTTCCCTTTCGTCGTTTTTATGACTTGGACTTTTTCTATTCTGGGGTGGTCAGATGCGGCGTTCTAAGCGGATGCGGTCGCCGGACGGCTGGATCGCGGAGTACAGCTGGGAGGAGAGAGAGGAGGTGCAGCACAAGAGACCGAAGCGCAGCTCGCGCAGCGGCGAAAGAGAGCGGCAGCTCGGCCGAACTCATCGCTATAAGACATACGAGGGGTAAGTAAGACTTAAGTTGTGAAATTATTCTTTTATTTTGTTTTAATTCAAATGGTCTTGGACTGTTAGATTTGTTGTTGGCATGGAGCCCTGTCAGATTGCCCTGCGTGTTTGCAGTGCCTTGAAATGATATGGTGACCTTGATTTCACCAAGTACAACATGTTCCTGGATCAAACATCTTTGGTGGTCCTGGAACAACATTCCTATCAACCAATCAGAATTGAGGGATAACTTTTCAGGAAATATCTGTTTTAGGCTTACAATCAGGATTAGGTGGTCTACACCTTAATCAGCTATCATTTCACACGGTTTTTAGGAATAAATTATGGGTAGGGTTAGGTTTAGGGGTAGGGATTGGGTTAAGTCAATATTTTTGAACAGTTATGTTGATCCAGGAACATGTCTTACTTGGCAAAATCACGGCGATCAAATGATATAGTGTAGCATGTTCTTGGATTCAGAAGCAAACTGTCAGAGTGACAAGTGCTGTATAATCGGGCCTGTCAGAGGGTCCCGATCGGTGCTTGCAATTCAGAGAATCCCATTGATGTAAAATCCTTCTGATATTAGAGTGCCAGTGGAATTTGTTCCAAAAGTTTTTGTAGTGAGATTAAGTTTTCAATGTCTGGCCATAGAGCTGCCACAATTATTATATATTTTTTTGTACAGTAGAAAATGCTAACAGCCATTTACTTAGTTTTCATTTGACCCTCCCAGGCATTTTGAAATGCAAACTGAGAGCTTGTAAATGCCCATTCACTCCAAGAATGAGAATGTTATTAGTGCTCACAACAACGGAAGGTAATTTAAAAAATTTTTTATTTATATATATATATATATATATATATATATATATATA